GACCCCTCAACCCCCCCTGCACCTGGACCTCCCCCCCATCCATCCACACACACACTCATCCGTCCCATTCTGCCTGCAACCAGATCCCCCACTGATCTGCCGGCACCCAGATTGTCCCACACAGAACCTTCTCACCCCGCACTTGGATCCTGCCGGGCTGAACCTGCCTGTCCCACACCTGGATCCCTCCACATCGAACCCTCCCACACCTCTGAACCTGGACCACTCCCATGTCCCATCAGAACCACCGTGCAACTCCCCCTCCCCTGCCGCCGAATCATCCCACCCAGAAACCCCTGGCCCCACAGCTGAATCCCCACTCCCAGCACTGATCCCTTTGCACCTGATACCAGCCTTCCAGGCCAAAACATACACCCTGCACCCCATGTTGTGGAGCAGGATGGGGGAGCTCTATCTCCCCTCTCAATCACTGCTGACCCCGGTGTGGCAACATACACAGCCAAGAGCACTAGCCCCTGTGCAACTGGACACCCCCACACACACCAAGGCCCCTGCACCGGGCCCCTGAGCCATCGCACCAGTTACATGCGGGGCAGCGCCCGTGCAGACAGAGAGCCCAGATGTAATAGCAGGGCACCAGGCCCTGTTGCGGTGTCGCTGCCCACGGCTCAGCTTGGATTCACACTCCCAGCTCTCTCTCACCCCCTCTAAGCAGGTTCCAGGCCCCGGGCACTAGTGCCAGGACGCCCAGTCCCAGCAGGGTCCGTGCCCTGAGGTTCGTGTGACCACCCCCACCGCCCCGCATGAGGAGATTCCTGCCCCAGGAATGTTGGTGTCTCTGCTGCCTCTGACTCCAACTGAATCCATGTGATGGTGTTTCCATGTATGGAAATAGCTGCTTCAACATGACCGCTGACGGCTGATTTCCCCAAGGCACTTAGTCAGTATCCCCAGCGGCAGACGCCAGATCCCATGATCCTAGCCAAAGGGCCTGCATCGCGGCTTCCATGCCCTGCCTGACTCAGGCCCTCTCTTCCCTGCCTCATCTGCTTGCTCCACTGGGTATTTCCGGGGCTTTTTCTATCTGCAGGGTGGCCCCAGCTGGCCATCCCCTCAAGAAATGTGCCACTACCAATCTCCTGTGTCCCCAGCCTGTCTGTGAGGCCCTGGCATCCATCCCCTTGCCCCATTTCTCCTGGCAGGCCAGAGAAAACACCCCACCCTGAGCCATCGCGCCAGTCACATGCAGGGCAGTGCCCATGCAGACGGAGATTCCAGCACCCGGTCCTGTTGAGGTGGCTTCCTGGACATCTCTACCCACTGCTCAGCTTGGCCAGAAGCCCCTTCTCTCTTGGTGCAAATAGCACTGCCACAGCCCTAGGCCCCACCCTGTGTTGTAAGCACAGGACCCGCCACGCCCTGCTACTGCAGCCCCATCCCCTAATTCTGTGCCGGGGGGGCCCTAGAGGAGCTGGGGTCCCTCGGGGGAGAGGGCCTTGGGCAGGCACAGTGATTGGCCAGACAGCACCCAGAGAGGGGAAACACTTGAGCTTTACAGCCCTGCCTCTGGACAGGAAACAAGCTGGATCTGAGCTCCCGCCCAAGGGGTCATTAGAGAGCATGGAGGGGCCTCCCAGCAAAGGAGAGGAGCTGGGAGAGGAGGAGCTTGGTGGGGATGTTGGGCTCATGGGATCTGGACTCTGCTGGGGAATTGGGGGGGGGAGAAGGGGGGAGCTGGCTTTTCAGACTGTTCTCGAGGGCAGATAGAGCCTCACATGGCACCAAGCTCCCGCCCCCCCTTTCCATAGCACAAACCGCAGCTGCTGAAACCCCACCACACACACCTGCTCCACCACATTCCTGGGCAGGGATCGAAGCTGGGACTCCAGGGTCTAACCACAGTAGCCTTTACTGCCTGGGCTTGGAGACCCCTGGAGCAGGCTCAACAGCCTCTCCCGTGGGGGCCAACCCATGGTCGGGGGACAGAGCTCCCCACAGGGCCTGTTACACTCCCAGGAGGATGGCAGGACCCCCCGCAGTGAGGGAAAGCGCCAGTGAAGCCATGCTTGGAAAAGGTTGCTGTATTAATGCACGCTCCCTGCTGGCGGTCGGAGTAGCTGCCTGGAGTACAGGGACTGCTGCCCCACAGGGATGGGGGCCAGCAGGAGGTTCAGAGCCCACTCAAGGAGGCTACAGCATCTGCGCTGCTCCAGTACCCCCTTCCCCTCCAGCCAACTTAGGCCTACCGGGACACTGCATTTGAGACAAGAGTCCCAGCACCTCTGCATGATGAGGGTACTGGGGCAGCTGCAGGGTTTGGTCGTGGCCCAGGTGTGATGCTCTGTACCTCGGGGGAACGCCCGACACCCCCATGTTCATCTTTATAAAATGATTGAGTGGTAGCCAGTGCAAAGTGTGTCATGTTGGGTGTCTTTGGAAGGCTCATGATGCACTGAGCGTGGTTGTTACAGTGATGTTATAGTAACGTTAACGGTTGTAATTTCATGTATATAGTTATGAGGCTAAAAATGTATCCTCATGGCTTAAAGCAAGCCCAGGCAAAAACTCTCCAAGAACAGAGGGGCAGTTCACACCTCATCAGGGCATGGATGGGACAAACCCAGCCCAGCCTCACAGAAACAAAGGACACTGGCTTAGGCCTGGTCTACACTACGAGTTTAGGTCGACTTTAGCAGCGTTAAATCGAATTAAGCCTGGACACGTCCACACTACGAAGCCCTTTTTTTCGACTTAAAGGGCCCTTTAAACCGGTTTCTTTACTCCACTTCCGACGAGGGGATTAGCGCTAAAATCGGCCTTTGCGGGTCGGATTTGGGGTAGTGTGGACGGAATTCGACGTTATTGGCCTCCGGGAGCTATCCCACAGTGACCGCTCTGGACAGCGCTCTCAACTCAGATGCACTGACCAGGTAGACAGGAAAAGCCCCGCGAACTTTTGAATTTCATTTCCTGTTTGCCCAGCGTGG